TAAGGCAAAAATAGTATCACATACCGAATTTCAATTGCCGTGTCCAGACGGTTTTGGGCGGGTTGGCAACGAGGCCTCTGGTGAAGTCACCTTGCACACCACAAATCATGTAGTGGCAGCCGGACTTCCGGCCTTCGCTGATGAGGCCAAAGGCGTGGTATTCCATGATAGATGTGCGGCTGATGCGACCTAGGAGACCTTGCTGCATACCGCGTTCGAACTTAAGAACTGCAACTTTGGGTGAGGGGATTTCAACTTCGACGGGTACTTCGCGGAGGGTGACCCAGGGAATGAGGACACTGTCAATGATTAGTTATGGGAAGGATTTCGAGCTGGAGATAGACCTACAAGACTGTCATGAAGACAGCAAACCAGAGTTCTTGTGAACTTAGAAGACTGTGAGCGTCGCTTCTCCACTCTCCACGCTTGATGTCGTAGGTGTTTCCCATGATCACGAAAACCCATGTCATCTAGAGCATGTCAGTGCCCATCTTGTTGAAAAGACATGCCGAATCACATACTGCAAGACCTAGCCATCCGACAAAGCGGTGGTGTCTCTCGAAAACATTGTGGTAGGTGCTGCATAAAGTGTTAGTATGGTGGTACAAAAGTAGTCTTGGCTCCATCAACTTACTTTCGTACCCAGGGGAAAGCGCTCAAGATGGAAACTACAATGAGCACGTTTGTGATGATGCCGCTTACAATGACGGCGGGGTGTTGCACAGCGCGGTACTTGATGATGTCGACGATCTTGTAGACGAGCCAACTATGTTGACGATTAGTCACACCGCCCATTCTATAGGGCAGTATAAACCTACGCAGCACCGGATAGAGCGCATCCGGAGTGAATGCCCCCCACGTGTTGGAGTATGGAGACCACTGCCAACTTCACGGGAATTGGTGTCCACTGTTCAGACAGGTCAGTGATGGGTGTTTGAAACAGGAGGCACAGACGGATACATACGCTTAAACCATATATGGCGACCATGTATAGGAAGCGCATCCAAAGCTCATTTCGCATCAAGATTGCACAGAGCAGGTTGCCTAACACCAAAGCACCTAGATGGTTTTCGGCGTAGTGGAAGTGGTTGGTTGCTGCGCAAATGATCCCCACGAGGTTGAGTATGACAACGAGTGTGAAGAACTTTCGGTACGTGTTGAACCAGAGCTTGAACAGAATCCATCGACTGATATTGGGCTTTTGTGGCTTTTCTGTGGTCGTCTCCTTGACTGCAGTCTTGGACTTGTTATCAACAGGCTTTTGTTCGCCTGCTCCCAGATTCAGGTCGGGCACGTTTGTGCATGGTGTTGTACCCTGGTGTACAGGAGAGATTGGACATGACGATAGGCTGGCCAGGGAGAAATCGGGTACACTTACACGGGGTGTGATGCCGTGGTGTACAGGAGAGACTGGGAATGATGGTGGGGGAGCCAGTGATACCCTTTTCGGGTCTATGTACACAAACCCAGGTGCTGTCGACTTGAGTGCGCTATCACACAGGCCTTTTTCCGCACTGTCGAGCGAATCGAGGCTATTCTTATCGACCGAGCTGGATGTTGTGAAGGACATTGTGCAATCACACGACTGAGGACTGATATACCAAAGTCTTAAAAAAAGGGGGGGGGTAATAGAGGCGAAGGACAATAAGACAGGGATGGCTTCTGTAAAATGCTCAAAGAGAAGATGATGTCCAGTGACAAGAGATTGATAATGGTACTTCAAACGACAAGGTGTTCTTTGAAAGGGTACTTATGATGAGCCAGCCGTCAGTGGTACCCGCACTATTGGGCTCCTCGATAGCCGCAGCGTTACTCATCCACAATTGGGATATGGAGTATACGGTGCCAATTTCCGCAACCATGACCGCCACCTCTGCCGACGTGTGGAGCCCTGTCTTAGTCGACTCTCCACTGGCTCCGACATAGCATATTCTAAGCTGGAAAGGCTGGCGGATGGCAAAGCCACTTCCGGGCTCACCTCGTAAATCTTGTTTAGTGGAGAGGGACCAACACCTCGGGAAGAGGTTAGTGTGGAACCTTCTACCCAACTATCGGTCGAGCGATACGTCCCCGTAACTCCGATATAGAGGTCGGAAGATACCCCAGCCAGAAAGAAATCGTCATGGTGCGTCTGCTACTATGGTGGTACAGATATGTCGGCAGGCTAAGATCACGCGGCGTCTTTGGCATATTGCAAAACTATATGACATGGTCAATGCGGCGTTCGTGTGTGACGTTTCAACGTGACTACCAGGCGCAAGCGATAGGGACGTGCAGAAGAGAAAATATACGGAGGCGCAGGGCCTGAGGCTGCATTCGGTTGCATTGGCGACAGGGTCATATCGTCAGCTTGTGCCAAGATGTCCTACGACAAAGTCTCTTAATCTAGCTATGATTGCGGAACCGAGGCTTAATCTCTAGTTCTTCACGTACAGATCGACATACTCGTCGATGTCCATGTTGTCAAGTGTCTTACTATCTTGGGCCAAAGTGACGAGTTTGTCGACGTGGTCCGCCGGGTAATGCGGACCGAGGTGCCTCTTGTATTTGGCGAGAATCTCAGGCTTGGCCTCTTCTCGTCGCAGACGGTGGCCAAGAGGAGCCTCAACTACTTCCTCATCCAGCACTGTGCCATCCTTGAGCGTGACAGTGAGCGCATTAGAGATGGTTCGCTTTTCTGGGTCGTGGTAGTCCTTTGTGAATTGGGGGTCCTCGACACAGCTGATTCGCTGTCGCAGCGACTCAACTAGCGCCGAAGTCGCAGCCTCGCTATCATCTGGATAGTCGGTGGCTTCGAGGCGGTTGAAGACAAACATGGTGGCTACCATGTACTGCCACATGGTCAGCATCCAGACCTGAGTCATCATCGTAAGCTTACCTGAACGCAGTGATCACGATCTGCGAAATTCTCCATGGGCTTGAACTGCTTATCGATGATGCGCACGCAAGCTTCGTGTGTCCGGTTTACCACGCGTTCAATGTCTTCGGCGGTCTTACCCATGGCCTTTAGCTTCTTGTTGAGGCGCTGGGCGGCTTCGACGGCGGTTTGGGAGTGGAACTCAGCTGTCACCAGGGTCAATTTGTGCCACAAAAAAGGAAACAGATCCAATTGTAAACTCACCGGGATACGAGACCTTAAAGAGAACATTCTCCATGACGTAGCTGCCGTAGCCCCTTTGGAAAGTGAATGGCTTTCCACCAAAGTTGACATCGTAGAAGCCCCAGGTAGGAGCTGAGAGCACAGTGGGGAGACCTGGCTCCCCCTTCATGACCTTGAGTACGAGATTGACGGCCGTCTGGCAAGCGTCACCAGCAGCCCACGACTTGCGAGACATGGTGTTCGGCGAGTGCCTGTACGTGCGCATCGACTGACCATCAACAAAGGCCTGCGATATGGCGTCACGTGTCTGAGCCTCGTTGAGGCCCATCATCTTGGATACGACGGCAGTCGACGCAAGCTTGACGAGAATGACGTGGTCCAGTCCGACCTTGTTGAAGGAGTTCTCTAGGGCCATGCAACCCTGAATCTCGTGCGCCCTGATCATGGCTTCGAGCACATCTCTGACCTTGAAGATCTTTCCATTGCCGAGATTGCCCCCAGCCTTGTTGGTACGAGTGATCCAGTCGGCAGTTGCAAGAATAGCACCCAGATTGTCAGAGGGATGGCCCCACTCAGCAGCTAGCCAGCAGTCGTTGAAGTCGAGCCAGCGGATCATGGCACCAATGTTGAAGGCACCATTGATAGGATCAAGCTGGTAGTTGGTGCCTGGCACCTTTGTGCCGTTGGGAACAACGGTTCCCTCGACGACAGGACCTAGAATGTTCCTGCATTGCTCGAAACGCAGACCCTCGAGACCACAACCCAGCGTGTCGATAAACACCCAGCGAGCCGTGTCATACTTTTCGAGAATCGACGTTAGCCTTTATTCTCGACGGCGATATTCAAGGTAGCTTACCGCGAGCTCTGAATCGATGGGAGTGTTGTGGATGTAGCTGGCCATGTCCTTGATTTCGGGATCATACTCGCGCTTGGCGAGCGCCTGCTTCACTTCGCTCTTGAGGGTCGTCATGGTGGAGAATGACGATGCAACTACCGCTCTGGAGGTTATTGGCAGTGAGGGAAGAGCACGAAGAGCAATTGGCCGGGTGGCTCTGGTGACAACGCTGGCTCGCGATCGAAGGCTTCGTGAAGCGGTACTGCACAGGTTGCGACTGAAGGCCGACATGTCTGATTAGCTTCTGTCGTGCCGGACGACGTCAATGCAGCTCTGGAGAAGAGGGACAGTCGTACTAGACGCTTTAGAGGGACTGACTGGCTTTTGAACAGGTTCAGTGCACAGATTGAGAACGCTCGGCTTGCAGAATTCGGGAGGATGGATACGCCGTCGTCAACCGAGGCTGAGCATATCCGTATGCCGTGCGCGACTCGTGTTTCACGACACCAACACAGCAGTAGATTTGACGGACAGCCTCTAATTGATGCCTCTTCTTCCTCGCCATTGTCATTGTGCTACCAGAGCTTCCTACATACAAATTCATCCTGGGATCGCAGCCACTTTGCGGCACTGCACAACAGCGTGTTACCCCGCATCATCCCGCGGCCGCCTCAGCTCGGCTACGCTACCCAAGCCCGCAAATCTAGGCCCCCCACACCAACACAACCATCCGCCCAGACCCAAGGGTCGAACACTGAAGAATATATATGCATTGAACATTCTTGGTATCAACTATCCTTCCACTACCACTTCCACTACTGCTACCACCATTGCGCCAACTAACTACGACTCTGCTCCCTTGATCCTCTTCGTCTGCCATCGCCATCGCCATTACAATCCCTTTTCTTTTTACATGTTGCCCTTTTGGCTCATATTGCACTTTCCTCGCTAAATTATATGTAACTGTATATAGCCAATGGGCCAACCATGCAACAGTCTCCCAATGATTCGGCGCTTTGCGTAGGGATTGGGTTTGGATATGAATGAGCTGCTGAATGGCTTTATTTACCAGTCGTCCTTGTCCGACTCATCGTCTGTAGAAACTTTAGCACATCATCATAAAGCCGCCCAGGAATACAGTCAACTTACCACTGTGACTAACTTTCGACTTCCGTGCCGCAAGTGCACTAGCCAATGCATTGGCTAGACCAGCCTCTCCGCCACCTGGGCCAGAGCCGCCTCCTGAACCACCTGGAGGCTCTTTCCCAGGCACTGCTGCCCCACTGCGATCCTTCTTCTCTGAATCCGAAACCTTCTTCAATCTTGCTCCTCCACGAATATCTGCTAATAAGCCATCCCTGCCAGCTGGGACCTTGGGTAAAGATGCACCGCCTGGTGGTGCAGGGCCTGGTGGTGGAGGAGGCGGTGGTGCTGGGGGTCCGCCCATTGGGGGCAATGGAGGTGGCGGTGGTGCGCCGCTGTTGGGCATAGGCGGAGGTGGCGGTGCACCACCGCTGGGCATTGGTGGAGGGGGTGGAATCGACCGTCCTGGCATGGGCGGCGGCGGCGGCGGAGGCGGAGGCGCAACATTGGACGTCGGTGGTAGCGGAGGTGGAACTGGTGCTGCTCCTGACGGCGGAGGAGGTGCAGGACGCGAAGCGGACGGTGGTAGCGGCGGAGGAGGCGGTATGTTATGAATCGGCGGTGGAGTTGGTGCAGCTGAGGTCTTTGGAGGGAGCGGTGGCGGAGGTGCTGACGGAATATCTCTCGCTGGGGGAGGTGGTGGTACTGGTCCTCGGCTTGGAGGAGGTGGTGGTGGCCCTGAAGGTACGCGATTGCCTGTGAAAGGCGGAGGCACGCCAAACTTGGCTCCACCTGATCTCTCCTCGTCGGGCACGGGCGTCTTTGGCGGCCGAGGCGGTGGAGGAGGTCCTGGGTTCGCTGCATTGGACGAGGCTCGCGCTCGGTTTGGTGGTGCAGGAGCCTGGTTTGCAAATTTGCCTGCTTCTGCAATTGGCGGAGGCGCTCTGAAGACTGGCTTAGGTGGTCCTGGGGGAGGTGTAGCTTCTCGAGTTGGCGAGTGCGGCGCTGGGCTTTGCGACGAGGTTCGGTTGGCAGATGCATCGTGTCGCGTGCGTCTGGCTGGCGGGGGCTGTGGCGGAGGTCCGCGTTTCGATGTGGTTGTGCCGCCTGTGTGCTGGGGACTGAGGGGCGCACCCGGCGGAGGTGGCGGAGGAGGAGCCCTGGATCGGCGCTGGTTTTCGTCTTTGAGCTTTTCTTCCGACTTCCTCTGCTCAATATACAGTTTGATGAAGTCGGCATTCTCTTCAATCTGGTCCTCTGTGATGCCCATGGCCAACAGTTCCTTGAGCAAGGGCTGCCATGAGGGGTCTGTCGTATCGATCGCGGAGCTTCGTGCGCTGGTTGCGTTGGAATGGCTGCTTTGCACGGGCGAGGTGACAGAGGGCGGAATGATGGAATGTGCGGGCGGAGCTGCGTGGGAGGAATTTCGGTGTCCAAAGATACCGCCCAAAAGACCGTGGCCATGGCCACCGCTCTTTCCGTTTGTTGAAGTTATACTACTGCCCACGGTCGCGCTAAAGGGCTTGCTCTTTGTGTTCTTGTGGGCGTTCTTCTCGCGGTCGTCGAGCTTCTTCTTGAATGTCCGGGCCTCCTTCTCGTCGGCAAAGGACAGGCCGGCCAGGCAGTCCTCGAGTTCAAAGGTGTGGAAGAAGACGCGGTCCTGGTTGTAGGAGAAGGGGTCGTAGATCTCCTGGTCCCAAATGACGCCTCTGGTTTGGGGCTGCCTGTGTCAGTCTGAGGCATTTAGGTGGAGTTGGCGGAGCGTACCGATATGTCGACCATCTTGAGCCAGAAGGTATTGCCGACCAGGTCGTTGGCCAGCACGACGGCACCCTGCAGGCCCGTATAGGTCCATCGGTGCCGGTCGGGGTAGGCGATATACAGCTTGGCGACGGCGACGGCGTGGATCTTGTTGCCAGACTTAGGGACGGTGCGCTTGACCATTTGCTTGTCCTCATCGGACAGAATGGACGGCATTGTGGCGGGGGGTCACGGGTGGTGTATGTTGGCGGTGCAGAGGATGTAGACGGTGTAGAGTCGTCCTACAAGCTTGGCTGGTCGAGGGCAGCCGTCGGGCGCTGCTGTGGTCCCTTCAGTGGGGGGCGTGGTCCTCGCGCAAGAATACCCAGGCGGCACATGTAGCAGCCAGTAGTCGCCGTATGTGTTGCCCGACAGTGCAGTGCTTTGCGGGCGAAGAATATGGCGGCAATGTCAAGACTGCCACGGTGGAGCCTGGCTATGGGGAGACGTCAGACTTGAGGGCGCTGATGCCGCAAGCTAGTCGGTACCATCCCGACCACGCGGGAGCCTAACCAACCACCACGACACCCATCGAACGACCTCGTCGCTCAGCTGGAAGAAATGCTGGCATCCATCTTGGCTCAGGGGCGAGCGATGCGTTCATCAATGGGTCTGGGAAAAAGATGCAGCTCCAACATGCGCGACACATCATCTCTCCAGCCTGCGCACGCGACATCGCAGAGCCTTCTCTCCCAATGCCATCTAATTACACACCAAGACGCAGCCCAAGATTGCCCTCGGCTTCCTTACCCTGTTGCGTGCGACCCAATATTTCAAACCAGGTCGGTTGCACTATAAATTCAATCGTCATGCAAAAAGTATCCACGCTTCCGACACGGTGACGTAGCCCTCTGGGATATACCCAGAGAAAAAGACCCGTGGGGGCCAGGCTCTCTGCCATTGAGTATACGTACTACACACCTCACTCGCTGCACTGATCCTGGCTGTGCACGTTAGTCATTAGATAAGCTCGGGAAGGAAGAGAACACCACCTTTACACACACACACACGGACCGCTCTACCTGTCTGGCCCCCATGCTGCGGTCGCCGAGAGCGCCACCAACGCCGACCTGCCGACTTGGTTCAGCTGCACAAGGCTTCCAGCTATGATAACCTGCTTGCATTCGGGGCCCACACAGGTGGTGTGAGCAGGAGTGAACCTCGCAGTACCGACACGGGAACCACTCACCAAAAAACGCCACATCTTTGCCCGACGTACTCGACAACCGACTGACCATGGACGACTTGCTCGAGGGCTACATGGTGCTTGACGCAATAGGCGACTTTCTTGAAGACCGCTCGCTGACCCATCGCACCAAACACCCCGCAACAACACCACAGTCGCAGCCTGGTGCACAAGCCTCTACCGGGTCACTCACGCCCATATCTGATCCAGACCAGAATAGCCAAGGGTACGTCCCTCGTTCGGTTCTCGTGGCCGAACTGCCTGGAGCCATGTCCTCGACGTATCTAATAGACACAGTGAGGCCCCGAAAGGCGCGCGAAAACGACGAGGGCACAACAAGAGCCGACTAGGCTGCATCGCTTGTAAGAAAAGAAAAATAAAGGTATTCCTTCCCCACCTGAAGTAGCTGTTTGCGATCCTAAAAGTTGTTACGTAGTGCCAGGAGACATGGCCGTCCTGTGCAAATTGCGACAGGCGTGCGCGTAGGTAGCCTATCGTTTGTTGCGCTGCATCGTGACTGAACACCAGATAGTCGTCTGCAGGTACCCAGATGTATTCAAACATGCGCAGCACGAGCTGCCCAGGCCCAAGCCGCCGAGCCCACGACAGGTTGTCCAGCTCTCGGACAAGCCCATCATGTATAGTCCAGACGATATGCAACTCTTCCATCACTACCTCACTGCCGCATATCCTTGCATTCCAAGCAACAACGAGCAGGTCTGGACTCGGCATATTCCTCTCAAAACTTACCAGGTAATTACACCTTGTACCCACTACACATGCCAAGCATCCACAGTCGCTGATTGGCATAGTATCCTTACCTTATGAATGCTATGCTCGCTTTAGCAGGATCCCATCTTGCCATCCAGGTCGAAAATCCAAACAACCGCCTGGCACTCCGGCATAGACAGAATGCCATTGTAGGACTAGAAGATGCCTTTGCTCGATGGCCGCCGTCTCCAGATGAATCTCACGTCATGTTTGCAGCGTCCTTCCTGTTGTCCCTGCAATGCAGTTACCTGAACGACGGCTTCTTAGAGCACTTCATCTCTTTGAGAGGGTGCTCCCTACTGTCTCAACTCATTGTCGCCGAAGGGTTCAACGGCCCTTTCGTGGAGCAAACAGGTGTAGACCTAATACCTGTCGACACGGCAACACACCAATACTTTGGGATCGGTCAAGATATTCTTCGTGAAGCCTTGCTATCCCTCAAAAGTTTCTCAAAGTTCATGACCCCAGAAATACATCCAATTGAAAAGGCTGTAGTCGGACAAACCGTGGTAACACTTCAATATCTACTTTGCCCTGATGTCCAGCCAGAAGGCAGAGGAACGACAGTGCCAGACATCGAAGGTACCGCCGACCCTTCGCAATCGACTAAGCCTTCTAAATCAGGTGCTTCCGCGAACCCCTTACTCCCATCCAGCATGGCAGACGTATTTCACGAAATTGACTGGGACAATATCACCACAGCGCCCGCTGGCTCCCCCTCCCCCGTCCGCTCCTTTCAAGGAATGATGGCAGTCCTAACCATATTCGCTACCTGGCCGCAAGAGGCCCTTGTCCACATCTTTGACTCAAACAATCGCCTCGGCAACATCATCCTGGCGCATTTTTCCGCCATCCGCTTCATCCTCGCACCAATGACGGCAGAGCAGAGTGCGCTGCGGACTCCGACACGAGCAATTGTACAGTGGTCAGCCAAGATCATTGCCAGCATTGATGGCTATGATAAAGGTGGAGAGTGGTCTCAGTACGTGGAGTGGCCGAGGAAAATCCTCAGGTGCGTGGAATTTTGCCTTGAGAAGCATCGCGGCTTCACCATAGGCGATGTACGAGATTTGTTTTTGCGCGACCCCGGTGCTTTCAAAGAGGGACGAGCACCAAGGATTTGAAAGATCTAGGAATTATGCATGTCTGCGAAATACGCATCTTCTTCTAAAACTTACACATCTCTCACCCCCTCACCACATCGTCTCCGCTCTCCTCTCCAAACAAAACGACTCCACAACTCTCGCCTCCCTATCACCCTCGCACCCACAACTTCCCCTCTCTTCCCCACAAACCTGCAGCCCCCATGCACATACCTCCAATCACTAAACCACTGCAACTCCCCCGCTTCAATAACATGGCCACCGGCAACAATTGCACCGCCGCATCCCTCCACCTCTCACAATAAAACCCTCCTTCTCGATCCAGGAAACCGAAAAGCTGAGTACACGCCTCGCTGCGAAAAAGATAAAATCCAAATCCCCAATTTCAAAATACGACCAAAAATGACACATTTTCCACAAAACACCTTCCGCGGTGCGATTTCGCAGCCAGGCCAGCGCGGGACGCAGGGGCCACGGTGCGAAACTCGGGTCGTAGAACGGTGTTCAAAAGGGGGGACGTCGGTATGCCGTTTGTGTGCTTGAAGTCTGAGAGTTTGCGAAAAAAGGGAAGGTACGGTCTTGCCGTGTTCCCAGAGGGCAATGGTGTAGGCGTAGCGTTTTCTGTTGCGCCGCATGTGGGTGAAGGGGTCGTAGGGGGATTGTGCAGGTGAAGGAGATAGAGGATTTGACGCGCCAAGTAGTATTTGTACGGGACGAGGGAGGGGTGGGTGTGGAAGAAGCTATTTAGGAGAATGAGTTTGGGGGGGGGGGGGGTTGAAAAGGGAGGGTTATGGAATGTTGAGGATATGTGTTGCCAATAGTCACAATTATTTGTTAACACATGGGGAAAGTGCGTTCTGAGACTGAGAGATGTGCGTGAACTGGGGCATCTCTCGAGATTACCATTCTTCTTTACCAAGTGATGATTAGCAGACAAAGGAAGTGCGCAACCATAGGTCGTCAGAACTGCCATGACCAGATGTGCTTCAGCTCATCAAACGGTAGTCTTTCTCATCGTGCTGATCCTCGAGGAATCTATTCGCATCTTTAGTTAGTTTTCTTATCCGGACCTGCAGTTCCTCGAAGCTTATTCATGTTAAATGTCGTTGTGAAATAGAAATCCAGAACCGCGGTCGGCAGATAAGACCACGCGAACCATACAATCCAGCTCATCTTGCCCTCCCATATCCATCTCGTCTTGCGGAACAAGCCATCGCCAGCGAGCACCTTGTTTACACAGCTATGCGCATACTGTTTGGTGTCCATGCCGAGCTCCTGGCTATGCTTGAGTCTTCGCTGGTACTCTGCCGCCAGCGGCTGCATATATGAGCCAGGCGGCAGCGTGCGCTCTTCACGCGCAATATTCGATTTCACGCCGCCCGTGACAACGGTAATGACACGGACGCCCAGCGGCGCGAGTTCAACACGCAGAGTGTCGGAATACGCGTGCAGCGCCGCTTTGACGGCGTTGTACGGCGCGCCCCATACATACGGCATGATACCTGCCAGCGACCCCGTCTGCACAATTGTGCCTTTTGCTTCTATCAGAAGCGGAGCGAAAGTGCTGCACATTTTCATTAGGGAGAAGAGATTTGCTTGGAAGAGGTTGTGCAGCTCAGTTTCATCGTAGTCGAGTGCGGGCACGACATAGTTGCGGCCTGCATTGTTGTAGAGGATGTCGAGTTTGCCCCCGGTGATCTCGGTCACGCGTTTGTGTAGGGACGCGATGGACTCGTTGCTGTTGAGTTCTAGGGGTAAATAGGTTATCCGCGGGTCGGGGGAAGGGTATTTGGCGGGATCGCGGACGGTGCCTAGTACGTTGAAGCCTTTTTTCTGGTCGTCAGCGTTGGGTTGTGCATGTGTATATATACGTATACGCGTGAGTATACATTTGGAGTGCTTGGCATACCCCTCTGAGCGAATTCCAGGGCGAGGTAGTGTCCGATACCGCCGGGCGTGCATCTGTTGGTGTCGGCATTGCTTTTTCTCTCGTTCGCTTACACAGGGAGAAGGATGCAGATGCATTGCTGCAGTGCTACATACCCGGTGATCAGCGCATACTGCGGCCTCTTCTTTGCAGCCATGTTTTGCTTGGAGTTTTGGTCGTCTGGCAAATGTATGTTTGTATGCGTCGGACCGTGATAGCGTTCCAGAATTCTCATACGTATGCTCTAAGTACTTAGTCCCACTTTCTCGGCGGTTCTGTCCATAGCGCGTCGACGTCATTGCCGCACATCCGCGGCCTTCTTTCTTCACAAGCACCTTCGCGTCCTTAGTTGCTATGCTATCTTGCTCGTGCTAATGCCTGACTAATCATTGCTATTCATCTTCGCACAAAACATGTGCATCCTCTTTCTTCTTTCTGATCATCAGCTCCTTGTCAATTGCCGTCTTACCTAGTCAGATAATACAGCCCAACGCAGCCCTGGTCCCGAAGTGTCTATCTGAACATCAGCATTTTCCTCTCTCTCTCTCTCTCTCTCTCTCTCACTATCCATACTATCACACATCCAAAGAAAGCCATCATGACGTCTGCAGATTGGTTGGGACAAGTCGTCCCTACCCTTCTCCGCCCATCTATACTATTGTGCATATCAGCATATCGTACGACATACTGCACTATCCTATCCTCAGTCAACGGGTTCTGACAACCGCACAGATTTTGTCATGACAATTTTCGAAGTAGTCTTCTATGAGTGGAGCCCCTTCACTCTATTCAATATCAACAAACTGCGATTCAAAGCCTTCGCCCGCCTTTGGAAGCACAATGGTAAAGCAATGTCTACCGAGATGCCCGGTCCTACTTTTGAACTCCTGTCTCAGTGCAAAGGCGTGATTCTCGACGTTGGCCCTGGCTCGGGAGAAGTGCTGTCTCGCTTCGACCCGAATCTCATCGTCGCAATCTACGGCGCTGAGCCTGCCGAGGACCTACATCCTGGACTTCGGAACAATGCCGAAAAAAGCGGCCTAGGGAGCAAATACCATCCGATGCTCTGCGGCGCTGAGCCTGAAAGTCTGATCCCTGCACTGCACAAGAGTGGCATTTTAGATGTTAGCGGGAAAGGAGGCTTGGCGTCTGATGGTGTGTTTGATGAGATTTGCTGCACACGCGTACTTTGCGGTGTACCTCACCCAGGACAGACAATCAAGGATCTCTACAATCTCCTCAAACCTGGTGGCCGAATGGTAATCTGCGAACATGTCGCCAATCCGTGGAGAACTCAGGGTAGTGTCGCGGCGCGCTTCATGCAACTAGTGTACACCATCATTGGCTGGCCTTTCTTCATGGGCGGATGCGAACTCCAGCGACACACATTAGAATATTTGAGAGATGCTGGAGAGTGGGACAAGTTTGATCTGAAATACTATGGTCCTAAGGACTGTATTCCTTTTGTTGTTGGCGAGCTGATCAAAAGGCATGGCGAGTTGGAAAAGAGCTATGCTCAAGCTATCAAGGAGTAATCTGAGGGGTATTGCACATATTGGATGGGCCATCCACAGTTCATGGGAGATAGAGTGTTGACACCTATATCAAATCAGGTCAGGTCAGTGTAGCACGTTCTTGTGGGAAGCCCTTTAGATGATTTGTATACAGCGATAAAGTGTACATTGTAGTTAAGATTATATCTTATTATGTCTAATGTTTGTACATATCCAGCTCTATGAGACACACCTCTAGCTTTTGAAGATAATCGACACCCTTATTTACATGACAAAGAAACCAAGAGCCATAGCCAACAAAGTGAACCCCAAGTTCTGACTTCCAAAACTTCCTACCGCAGCATTCGCGGTTTGCTCAGCTGGACTAGCAGTCGATGACGCGCTAGTACCCGCTTCTCCATTGGCGTTTGATACAGGAACAGTAGCAATACCCGATGGTACCGGTGCCTGGGAAGGAAGAGCCACAGGCGAAGAGACGCCCGAGCTTGCTGGTGCTCCTGAAGGGCTTGGTCGTGAGCTAGATGAACCGTTGTTTTGTCCTCCAGAGCCACCCGGAGCTGAAGAAGGCGAAGCCGACGCGACCGGAGCACGCGAAGCAGTACTTGAAGATGATCCCGCACTGGCCGTACCTGTTGGGCTCGCTGCAGCACTAGTCGCACTGCTTGCTACACTGCTTGCGGGCGCAGCTGATGGTAGATTATCGGGCAATGGATTTGCATTTCCACCCTCGCAGTTCGCCTCGCCTCCGAGCTTCACTACCATTCCTACACCCGCCATCGGGTCCCGGAGCCCATTGTCGTCCTGGAACTTCTTGACATCAAACGCCTCGTTTTCTCCTGGAACCTTCAAATCGGTGATTTGCCTTCGTCCGGGGTTGGTGTACATCAAAAAGGTGTACTGTCTGTTGTCGCCTGTCTCGCCCACAGAGCCTGGGGCAACGTAATCAACGGCTGGCGCGGTGTCGGTGGCGATGTTGGTGATATCGAAGTTGTTCTTGAAGTTTGCACGGGCATAGTGTAGTTTACGCGCGTTGGTGCATGTTGTGTCCACCATGATGATGGTGTATAATGTTGTCGGGGAAATACCATTGCTATCCCCCAGAGCGAACGTGGGTTCTTGTGCTACGGCTAGATGGGTGTGAGCTGTTGGTTTTCCTGAAAAGTCTTCACTGACTACTGACCATCTTTTTCAAAAGTTGTTCCGTCTTTGAATCCATTAATCGCTTGGTTGGTGTAGCTGACTTGGACTTCGTCACTGCCGAACCCAGCTTGTAAATCTTGGGGAATGACAGTTCCGCCTTGTGCAGCTGTCTGAGATACAAAGGCTGCCAGTACCACTACCTTCCAGTAATAGCGAGAAGCCATGATTTGTAAATTACAAAGTATAGGGGGGATACGAGAATTTTGAGAAGAACGGAATGAACAAAAAAACACTTAAGCACTGCTTAGAGTTGATATGGAGCCTGCCCTCTTTCCAAGGTGACTTGCAGCCCCAGGTTATATATACATTCTCAGCGACCTCTATATGAACAAGGCTCTATACGCACAAACAATGAGGAGTAATAGGATCTACACTAAATGTTCCGCCCGAGGCTGTTCAACGCATGCCAACCCCGGAAAAAAGTCGCAGGATCTCACTAAAACCTGATCAAAGTAGAGAGCAGCATTGCAGATCCATTCGTCTTCAGACAGCAAGCGCATAGAGTCTCGGCAGGTGCCTATTCCGTAGTCTGTGGGCGCCTTGGGGTACTTGTCAGCTGTTTCGGTTTCAATGCTGTTTCAGCCGACGGCTACCATACGCTCGCGAGCATTTTGTAGCCTGACTATAGCAATATTTACATAACTGCGCCTTTTCTAATTCTAGGAGCCAAGCACCAAGGGCGCTTGTAAAGTGCAAAACAGGTTATTGACAACGAAGGCTGTGACAAGAAGTGGGTTGCCCAGATTTCAAGCCACGTTGTACACGTTGACATCTGGGCATAGACCTGAGTAAGTACTTAGTGCATGGCGCCACACAGACTGTCTGATACTGTGTTCAGGCAGTACGCTGCCTCGCGTTCATGTTCATGAAACTTGATGAGAGCTGTACGAGCAACGATGGTTTGGTGTTGCTCAGGGCTTGGCAACCACACGCGCACCGGATAGGTGACTCTGATGGATAGCATGCAAAAGACAACACTCCCATATTCAAGGCATAACGAATAGTTGACTCGATGTAAAGTATGGAAAGGATGTCCCTCGTAAATAGCCATGTAGGTGAGAACTAATCGGAAACCGCGTTCGCGCTACCGCCATTGTTCTCGAAGGTACCCGGACACTAGTTCTTCCAGGGCCGCATCACGTGGCGCCTCGCTTAGAATTTCGAGCCGCCCACCATCTCCTGCTTGCACTTACCAGCTTCGACCACTCCTCATCGTCTATCAAACACAACCGCCAAAATGACGAAGCGTGCGTATGCCCTACGGTTTTCAGCGAATTGGTTATTGACGGCTATGTAGGCACAAAGAAGGTCGGCATCACCGGAAAGTACGGTACCCGTTACGGTGCCTCTCTCCGTAAGCAGGTCAAGAAGATGGAGGTGCGCATTACCCTGGATACTCCACACTGCCAGCAGAAACGAGTTGCTCACGCTCAGGATAGATCACACAACACGCCCGCTACGTCTGCCAGTTCTGCGGAAAGAACTCTGTCAAGCGCGAGTCCGTTGGTATCTGGCACTGCCGATCATGCCGCAAGACCACTGCCGGAGGAGCCTACACCGTCTCGTAAGACATCCCTCGATAGCCCCGAGCGCAATATTATCCGAGAATCGGGCGTGCGAAAGGAAAAAAAATCAGGACATTACTAACAAGTTTACCAGTACTCCCGCTGCCGCTGCCACAAGGTCAACGATCCGCCGTCTCCGAGAGATTGCTGAGGTTTAAGGGAACATTGGGCACTGGGGTGGAGTTCTTCGAGCGTTTTCTCTGCACCGGCAATCATGGCCCGATGACATTGCTCAAATGCAGCATTCGGATGCCGGTCTCATAACGATCATGGGTTTATCAGGAATTCATACAAAACAATGGCACCTTTATGACCAAGCAGACCACTGCGCGACAAGGAAAAAAAGCAGTAATTGTACCGACAATGCTCATTGCTTGCCTGGCGTTGCCTGATACCAATGTGATACAAGCAACTTGGGATTCTTCTTCATTTGCACGTGCCAAGAATCGGTCAACGTCGTTAATGACATGTAGTGAGGAAATATTCGCTAACTGTCTGCTGAATGTTCTTAGTCGGCCACCCTTGAAGTCTTATGTTTCTCGGTGGAGATTGCGCTAACAGCCGTCGAAATGATCTTACGAATTTAACTTGGCTAAGAGATTCACCAGCATTAGCACACTCGTCTATGACATTACACTGCGATGTGTACTCAATAAGTCAGTTCAAGTATTTGGTAAGACTGACTGCCTGAGTGAATGTTCTTTCTATCATTCAGCACTAACGTTGCGCGGGAAACATGTGTCATTTTAGAGTATCAATGAGTGCTGACTATCAAAGGCAAATATCTGATCCTGCATTCTACCTCGTATATACTAACAAAGGGATATGTATTAACAGAAGTCAGCCGCGGGGACACAAGAGCCTGCAATTCTTACACGTGGACTGGCGGGTGGCGAAAGTATATTTCATATCGTTTTTCTTTCTACGATCGATGAGCTAACAAGGTTCAAACTCGGTGAACATTCCCCATGTTCGACATGGCAAAGATGTTGTTCTTGGCATGGGTCCGAGATCACTGACGTGGGCGGAGTATCCTCAAGGAACATCTCGATCAGACCACATATACGCCGCTGGCAGGCGTGTGCTCGGGCCTTTGCGGCTACGATGCACAAACCCAGAGCTTATCGAAACGCATGCAAATTATGGGCTCACGATACCCACGCACGACGTCATGCCGCAAATCTACCGACTGATCCGCACGCTAAGTGGAGTCCCGCAGAGCCTCAACACCAAACTCTTCGTCCGATCCCAAACGCTAGAGCGCATAGTGGCGGCACACGTTACGGATATCAGATTTTCACCCGATTGTTCTCCTGGCCACGACGATAGAGGTCTTGTCCGTAGCTGTGCACAGACGATATGACGTTGAAGGCGAGACTGCATGGGTGGCCTCTCTGCTCTCGCATCCTGCTCGAGTCCTGTTTGTCGGGCGTTTACGGTCACTGGCATTGGTGAGATGACTGCTAGCCCATACTTCCCCTGCTTTTCTGCCATGCCGGTACCTCGCCGGCATCGATAAGTTGAAATGTTCGTGTCTCCGTTTTAGTCCTGGGTTTGTCGTGGCCATCCCTTATTATCGCGCTCACCCGCGTCTTTCGCTCCCGCTTCTCCAACACAATTCTCCCCATACCTTCGCCAACATGTCCGGATACTACGGTCCATCCTTTTACAACAAATCTTCCCGACCACCGTCTCTAGCAGCATCAAGAGCAAACTCATCCTACCGAGTCGCTCAAAGTGCGCCAGTCACACCTCGAAATGGATCGATAACTACACCCCGAAACGGCTCCATCCCTTATACGATCGACGGTTCCACTGCTGCTCAGACGGCTGCGAACACTGCCGCCAACACCGCTCCTCATACCGGCACCTCTACATCCGCTTTCTTGTCAAGAGTGAACAGTAAGCTCGCAAATGAAGACAATGTCTCTATGAACTCTGAGATTCTTCGCAATGAAAAGGGTGAGCTTATGATCGGGAGGATCGCCGGTGGAAAACATCTCACAGATGATATTGAGGATATCGATCCTGCTTGTGGACCCATCAAGCGCGTCGATTGCGACATGCCCCTTACACTGACGGAAATGGTCAACCACGAAGGCAAAGAGTACATTGTCTTGAGCTTCGCGACTGGCGATAAGGAAAATCCTTTTAACTGGAATCCCTGGCACAAGCGCAGCATCACTACGATGCTGAATTTGATGACGCTGTTTATTGGCCTCGCGACTACGGCATACAGCTCCGGTATCAACAGCATGTGTGAAGAGTTTGGTGTCGACGCTATATACGGACAACTCGGACTATTCACGTTCAACATCTCCTGCGCTATCGCGCCGATGGTGCTGGCACCTTTCTGTGAGCTTGTCGGCCGCAAAATCGTATACGCCAGCGCCTTCCTATGCTTCTCACTCATCTTCATCGGCCTCGCACTCGCACAAAGCATCGGCACAATCATTGGTCTCCGCCTGCTCCTCGGTCTCTTCGGATGCGTAGGCACCATCCTCGTCGGCGGCACATTCGACGACATGTACGAGCCGCACAAGCGCGGGCGACCCATGGCCATGTTCAGCTTCGTCGCTATCTTCGGTACGGTCGCCGCGCCCATCTACGCTGGCTTCATCGACCAAGCACTCGGCTGGCGCTGGGTACAAGGCATCCAAGGCCTCGCCAACATTCCCCTTCTCATCCTCATCTTCGTCCTCTTCCCCGAGACCCGTGGCGGTGCTAAGCTTCACAAGCGCGCGAAGCAGCTCCAAAAAGCCACAGGCGACGAGCGCTACGTCGCTGAAGACGACATTTACACGCCCGACGTCAAATCGATGCTTAAAGCCTCGTCTGTCAAAGCCCTTCGCATGCTCGTCACCGAACCCGTCGTCTTCGCCTTCGGTCTCTGGATCGCCTTCTGCTGGGCCGTCGTCTTCCTCTTCCTTTCCGTCATCCCCATCACCTTCACCGAGAAGCGCGGCTGGAACGAAGGCGTCAGCGGTCTCCCCTACATCTCTCTCGCCGTCGGCACAGTCCTCGGCTGGGCGGCGCATCATTTCCAAATGGCAAAGTACAACAAGCTACAATCCGACCCTAACGTGCGCGTTGTACCGGAGCATCGTCTCTATGGCGCTATGTTTGGCGCCGTCTGGCTCCCCATCGGCCTCTTTATTTATTCTTTTACTCAGTACCAGCAGCTTAGCTGGGTAGGGCCAGTCATCGGTCTCGCACCCATCGCTTTCGGTATCTTCTTCGTGTTTGAGAGTACGTACTCGTACACTGCGGATTGCTACGGCGAGACATCTTCGTCGGCGATTGCGGGTCAGGGTTTGATGAGGAATACGCTTGGGGCTGTGACGCCGCTGTTTGCCAGTGCCTTCTTTCATAATGTGGGGAGTCAGTATGCGGGATTGATTCTGGCGCTGTTTGGTACGGTGTTGAGTTTGATTCCGTTTGTTATGTTCAAGTATGGGCATTTGTTAAGGGCGAGGAGTAAGTTGGCGAAGGAGTATTAAGAATAGTACGGAAGATGTAGGGTAATTTTAGTATATTAGGGTTGAATGTTGTAGAGCTAACGTTGTTCATAAGTGAGTCGGTCACCCAAGTGAGTCGGTCAGTCAAAATCTCACCAAAATTTCAAATTAACAGGGGTCGATGTCTCAATAATTAGATATTAGAATCTTTTAAAGATCTAATATACTACTTCCTTATATATAAAGACTATTTCTAGAGATTTTAAAGAAGTTCTATACAGTAGTTATTAAGATCCTTACTATATACCCCTGTTAAACTATAAAACTAGTAATAACTATATAGATATTATAGCTATTAAGATAAAACTATAATATTTTCTTTATTATATAGATGCAGCGATTATTTGAGATTTTTAAACTATTTTAATATCTAGTTATTAAGATATCGACCCCTGTTAATTTGAAATTTTGGTGAGATTTTGACTGACCGACTCACTTGGGTGACCGACTCACTTATGAACCACGTTAGTTGTAATCAAGCTTTTGATTTTGTGAAGATGGGTATTCATGATCTTATTTTTGGTATGGAAATATTTTTTGTCTTGTGAAGAAAATAGCGTTTTTTCAGCGGAAATGTTAGCAGTGATGCTGTTTACTGGCACAATCGTGCTATAGTCACTGTTGCAAAAAGGTTCAGCCTCGCAAGCAAATTTCCTAACTGAAACAGCCGGATTTGCAGTGTTGTATATCTTGCTACCTATCCTCCAAAATAATTTCAAATTGAAAATCTTTGATAAGAATTACTATTCCAAGTACTATATCACACCAATTCAACACCGAACCCAAACCCTTTTCTCTTCTTAAGATCCGCAGTAAAAGAGTTGTAGAGTTTCGTACTGGCGAAGCTTTCTCAAGTTATTCTCTTCGACTGAAGAAGTGATTCCTGGACTCGGGATCATTCAGACTTCTCCTGTGGCGGCGAATGAATACCAAGATTGGCCTTTCTGGAGATGGCATAATGGTGTGAACGATGCCTGACTTGACAGTCTTTCCTGGATGAAGTCGATGCAATAGATGCGCTAGTCTTGCTCAAAGCCAGAAAAAAAGGTCCATTGCGATTCAGGAATAGGCAGGTGGCGCAAAGCTGTGGAATTGTGGGTAGTGGTGGGAAGTTGTAGGATCCTTTCCGCGATGGGTGTCTGCGATGCTGAGTTTGGTGGGGAATCTAGAGTTCCTTGATGGTGATGGTAACCTAGTATCCTGCCGCTGATTTACTTGCTGAGCAGTTTTTCGTTCTCTCCTGAGAGTTAAAGCCGGGTGGAGCTGTGAAATCGGACTTTGAGGGAATGACAATGAGTTCAAAAGGCGATTTGAGACTTTGGCCAAATCAGCTTGGAACGTTGGGTAACAATTTGGTTTTGTTTAGGTGGGCTGTGGATACAAAACTGAAGCTGGTCATGTTAGAGTGATAGTATCGAAATGCTACAACCGCCGGGATGTCGATGCAAGATGATACGACACCTGGGCTGAAGTTGTGCATGATGGGAACCGCTGCCTGTAGCTCACACTTTTCGACAAATCCCCTTAATTGCCGGCGCAATTTCACGGGTATAAGACTAGGAAGAGATGATACATTGTAGAGTTGGAGCTATTGGTTTTGCGCCTTGTTCAGGGCATCCGTGGCAGCGCTGACTGACGCGGTGTCAGAATCGTTGTATGATACTTTGACTTCTTTTCCGGTACGAAAGTCGCGGTATGCCGGGCTTCGAAATGGATGGACGTCTTGACTAAGAGGAAGGTTGGATCGTGACATATTGTCGTAAACAATGCTGTTGTTGTGGAAAACCTGGTTACCTGTCACGATTGTAGAGCTAGTGACGGGATCGATGCAGGTTATGGCATGGCCACCGACTGTTTTCTGAATTTCAGCTGTAATGGCAGATTTACTTTGATGCTTCAAAAGAGTAGTAGGGTAAATGCCTCCTGATACTTCGCCGATAACAGCGACATTACGAATGATTACGTGGCTCTGTTTGTAGTCCTTGATGCCAGATGTTTAGGGATTAGCTGAGGCGAAAGCCTTGGGGGCACATATATAAGTTAAAGGGCAGTAGAAAGCGGTGAAGTGCATGGTGATCGACATGGGGAACCCGGAGCTGAATTGCCGATATTATTGTTCGTCACCAATGAGGGATATGCGGCATCTTTCAAGGATCGGCTCCAGATTGATCTGCAGGCTCAATGGAGAAATATAGATCTATCGCTGTGCTTAGAGTAAGCTCGCTACAAGCCTCCATTAGGAAATCGCCCGATTAGGCGACCGTGTAGTCCGAGAGAGGAGGCTGGGGTCTAAACTAGATCTTTTGGGTGCAGTCAGTGTGTGAACACCATAGTTCAGGAGATGCCGTTAGAATCTCCACCGACGTCTAGTTTTCGTCGTCACTAAATGAATATAGTAACATTACTTTTGTGTATAATCTTGTACGTATATACATATGTATAAATTCCATCTATAACGGGTATGTAGTTTTGCTAGCTAAAAGGTATCTTGCTGTCCAAAATTGCGCATGTAAAATCCACGTGTGCCCTAGTCTCACACAGGATAAGGGCTTCATGCTAGGAGCTCCAAGCAAGGAACAAGACTACCATGACCTGGTCGGTAGCGCAGGGGCCAAGGTCAGATCGGAAAATAGCCAAAAGCGGTTCGCTACTGCTTCTCCGATAACATAACGGGGAGAGTAGAATGCTCATACCGTGCGACTCGTATCTGGCCGAAAGAGTTTGGTTGAGCAATATAGAGCAATGTTGGTTGCGGCTGGTGGCCTTTCTCCACAACATAAGCCTCCCCCGCCCTTAAGGGTGGTAGTGGCGGCTACAAGGTAATATACAAGGCTGGTGCAGGCACAACTTTTGGTATGGTTAAGGATTCTTAGGATTGACAGGTGCCCCAGCCAATAATTTTGAAGAAAAAACCATTACCACATGGCGTGTCCAAAACCACGAGGGTATGAAGGAGAGTCAAGTTTTATGTACATGTGCCAGTGGGAACGGCTAAATGTGATTAACAGCCAAGGATGGAATATGCATATCAATGCTGACAGAAAGAGTAGAGGGTAAGAGGCAACAGCGGGTAGCGGACCGAATGATTTCGTCCCTAAGACCTCTCATCAGCCATTGCGTGGTGTTGCAGGAAGAAGACTGCGTGGAGCGACGGACAGGGTTTGAGTGCGGGCCACCGCCACAGACACCCTGGCTTTGCACATCACCCACGGACCACGTGTAGCAGCATGGGTGTGGATAACGTTAGATGCATGAGAGTAGGGCCCTTGCACCGGCTAGGAAAGCTAGACGAGTAAAATAAACGACATGATTGGTCGCTCGGGATTGAACGAGGCTCTAGAATAGCTCCCCTCTCATCACACCTTCTGGCTGACGAGAGCCAGGCACGCGCCGACCGCATTTCGGGTGCCAGCCGTATGCGACCCATTTGCCGCAGCAATTTGACTAGAGAGTCTTGGAGCAATCGACTTGGCCTTGCGCTCAGTAAATCTCGCACCAGACGTCCGCAATGAGGAAGAAAGCCGAGTGCGAGCTTGTATCGCTGCCAGCTTGGGCTAGTATAGCACGTGATCGCCATTGTTCACTCACTCATTCACCAAGCGAACGCTGCTAAAACGCCGGAACAGTGCTTTTGCTTGTTTCGAATATCAAGCCACATTGACCAGCTAGGGTGCCCCCCACAATTAACATCAGCAACATACCACTGGTTGGCATTGCAACTGTATTTCCGATCTTTACCCATCCCAATGCTAGCCATACACACTACGGACAACATACTCGTCCGCACATCATTACGCCGCATATAGTCAAGGGCCCAGATAAGCTCCCGTTGCGGCTACCGCAATCGCACTAGCCAAGAAGGAGCATCTCAAGATTACTTCTTATAATAACCTCCCAGACCTTTTCACCACTTCTTTCTTAGCACCCAACTCTCTGAAAACACCTGGCATTCTCAAACCAGAACAACCGCCGCCATGAGTTTGGGACCAGGTGGCTTCGAGGCTCCCCCCAACGGCGCCATGCCTTCCGACAGCTCACTACACAATCAATCCCACCACACCGACAGCCTCACAAACAACGACAGCATCTCCAGTGCCGAGCAGAGGGAAAAAGAGGTTCATCAGCTCGCCAGGAAGTTCACACAAAACAGCGTCTACTCAACTACCAGCCAGAATCCTTTTGCAGCTGAACCTGGATCTAAACTTGATCCCAATGGCGGCAATTTCAGTGCGCGTGCTTGGGCAAAGGCCATGCTGCAAACACATACCGACGACAACCAAGCGCATCCTCTGCGCACACTAGGCGTATCCTTCAGCAACTTGAATGTGTATGGTTTCGGATTCGATACCGACTACCAGAAGAGCGTTGGCAACATCTGGCTAGAGGCCGCCGGCCTCGTTAGGAAGATCATGGGCCAACGCGAGCGCAAGATTGAGATCCTACGCGATTTGGAGGGTCTAGTCGAGGCTGGAGAGATGCTTGTCGTCCTTGGTCCTCCCGGAGCGGGATGCTCAACCTTCTTGAAGACTCTCACTGGACAAACTCACGGCTTCTATGTCGACGACAACTCGAACCTCAATTACCAAGGTAAGAATAGATGCCCTTTAAACTCACTGCCTCCCGCTGACAATCTCTAGGTGTGACTCCCAAGCAGTTGATCAAGAATTTCCGAGGAGAAGCCGTCTATACCGCTGAAGTCGACGTTCACTTCCCCAACATCACTGTCGGAGATACCCTTTTCTTCGCTGCCCGCGCGCGAGCCCCACGCCATATTCCTGGAGGGGCTACCGTGGACCAGTATGCCGAACACATGCGCGATGTCATCATGGCCAGCTTCGGTATCAGCCACACGAAAAACACCATTGTCGGAAATGATTTCATTCGCGGAGTATCTGGAGGAGAGCGCAAGCGTGTCAGTATTTCTGAGGCCTGTCTCAGCCAGGCACCGCTACAATGCTGGGACAACTCTACCCGTGGTCTTGACAGCGCCAACGCTATCGAGTTTTGCAAGACGCTACGCATGCAAACCGAAATTAACGGAGCTACCGCCTGTGTTGCCATCTACCAAGCACCCCAAGCTGCCTACGACTACTTCGACAAGGTCCTGGTTTTGTACAAAGGTCGCCAGATTTATTTCGGACCTACCGCCCAGGCTAAGCAGTATTTCTTAAACATGGGTTTTGTCTGCCCCGATCGACAAACCGATGCAGATTTCCTCACTTCCATGACCAGCCATCTTGAGCGTGTTGTGCAGCCTGGGTATGAGAACCAGGTTCCCCGAACGCCCGATGAGTTCGCTGCTCGATGGAAGGCCTCGCGCGAACGCGCAGAGCTCCTGAGCCAAATCGAGATCTACAACTCGAAATACACACCCGGTGGCGAGCATCTCGAAAGGTTCAAAGAATCCCGACGAGCCCAGCAAGCCAAGGCCCAGCGTGTATCGTCGCCATATACTCTGTCCTACGTTCAGCAGATCAAACTGTGCCTCTGGCGTAGTTGGGTTCGATTAAAGGGTGATCCTAGCATCACCATTTCTTCGGCCGTGGGAAACGCCATCATTTCTCTAATCATCTCCAGTATGTTCTTCAACCTCAAAAACGATACTGCGAGCTTTTTCCAGCGCGGCTCTCTCCTCTTCTTTGCCATCGTCATCAATGCCTTTAGCTCCGGTCTCGAAATGCTTACCCTCTACGCCCAAAGACCGATCGTGGAGAAGCACTCTCGATTTGCCCTCTACCATCCGTCCGCCGAGGCTATCGCGTCTATGCTGATGGATCTGCCGTACAAGATCCTCAACTCCATCGCATCCAACCTGATTCTCTACTTTATGACGAATTTGCGGAGAGAGCCTGGGCCTTTCTTCTTCTTCGTCTTTACCTCGTTCATCCTTACCCTAACCATGTCTATGTTTTTCCGATCCATCGCATCTCTGACCAGGTCGCTCGTCGAGGCGCTGCCATTTGCTGCCATTTTGATCACGGGTCTCACAATGTACACTGGCTTTACCATTCCAACGGGTTACATGCCCGGCTGGTCTCGCTGGATGGCCTATATCGATCCCATCGCATTCGGATTCGAGTCCATCATGGTCAACGAATTTACCAACCGCGAATTCCTTTGCGTCAACTACGTTCCTTCGGGTCCTGGCTATGATGTTAGTGGCAGCAACCGTGTTTGCTCCACCGTCGGATCTGTTCCCGGACAGCCCTTTGTCCTCGGTGACGACTACATCAGGTCAACATATGGTTACGAGGCCAGCCACAAGTGGAGGAATATCGGCATCATCTTTGCTTTCATGATCATTCTCTGCGCCATCTACCTGGTTGCTTCTGATTTCATCACTGAGAAGAAGTCCAAGGGAGAAATCCTTGTCTTCCGCCGTGGACACAAGAACTTGGACAGGAGTACCGGTCAAGACGACGTCGAGGGCGGCAGTGAGCGTACCACTACTGCGGCAAACACCAAATCTGATGAAATTGCCATTATTGAGCAACAAACTGCCATTTTTCAGTGGAAGGACATTTGCTATGATATCGAAATCCAAAAGGAACGTCGTAGGATTCTTGATCATGTTGACGGTTGGGTCAAACCAGGTACCTTGACGGCCCTCATGGGTGTCTCTGGAGCCGGAAAGACTACTCTTTTGGATGTTCTCGCCAGTCGTACCACCATGGGCGTCATTTCTGGTGAAATGCTCGTTGACGGAAAGGAGCGAGATGACTCGTTCCAGCGCAAGACTGGTTATGCCCAACAACAGGATCTCCACTTGAGCACTGCTACCGTTCGCGAGGCTCTTACCTTTTCCGCTCTTCTCCGCCAGCCCGCTCACATTCCTCGCGAGGAGAAGATTGCCTATGTTACTGAAGTTATCAAGCTCCTTGAGATGACCGAGTTCGCCGACGCCGTCGTTGGTGTCCCCGGCGAGGGTCTCAATGTTGAACAACGCAAACGATTGACGATTGGTGTCGAGCTTGCCGCTCGACCAGCTCTGCTTCTCTTCCTCGACGAACCTACTTCTGGTCTTGATTCTCAGACATCATGGGCGATTCTCGACCTGCTGGATAAGCTCAAGAAGAACGGTCAAGCCATTCTTTGCACGATCCACCAACCGTCCGCCATGCTGTTCCAGCGCTTCGATCGCCTCCTCTTCCTCAAGTCTGGTGGCCAGACTGTGTACTACGGCGACGTTGGCGAGAACTCCAAGATCCTCATCGACTACTTTACGCGCAATGGCGGACCTCCATGCCCGCCTGCTGCCAACCCCGCAGAATGGATGCTCGAGGTTATCGGCGCAGCGCCCGGCTCCCACACTGATATCGACTGGCACGACACCTGGCGCAAGTCACCGGAATACGCACACGTTCAAGCGCACCTCGCCGAGCTCAAGGAAGAGCGCTCTCGCATGACGGACCTGAACCGCACCGCTTCCCGCCAGGCCCACGACGCCGCCAGCTTCCGAGAGTTCGCCGCGCCCTTTTGGTCGCAATTCTACGAGGTCCAACTACGTGTGTTCCAGCAGATCTGGCGCACCCCGACATACATCTACTCCAAAGCCTTCCTGTGTGTCAGCACCTCCATCTACATTGGTTTCTCGCTCTACAAAACGCCCAACACGCTGCAAGGCCTGCAAAACCAAATGTTCTCCATCTTCACCCTGTTCTTCCTCTTTGGCCAGTTCATCCAGCAAATCATGCCGCACTTTGTCGCACAGCGCGCTCTCTACGAGGCGCGCGAGCGCCCTTCCAAGACGTACTCGTGGAAGGCCTTCATCCTGTCCAATATCATTGTCGAGCTCCCCTGGAACACGCTCATGTCGGTCCTGCTCTTCCTCTGCTGGTACTACCCGATCGGGCTGTCGCACAACGCCGAAGCCACGGACTCGACTGCGCTGCGCGGCGCCCAAATGTGGCTGTTCGTCTGGACCTTCCTCATGTTCGGTTCTACCTTTGCGCACTTTATGATTGCCGCGTCGGACACGGCGGAGAACGCAGGAAACACTGGCAACTTGCTCTTCACGCTCTGCGTCATTTTCTGCGGTATCCTCGCGACGCCCGAGCAGATGCCGCGATTCTGGATCTTCATGTACCGCGTCTCGCCGTTTACGTACCTGGTGGGCGGTATGCTGGCGGTGGGTGTGGCCGACTCGTCGGTCACGTGTGCGGCGAATGAGTATCTGAGGTTCGACCCTGTCAATGGGACTTGCGGCGAGTACATGGCGCAGTACCAGGCCATGGCTGGCGGGTACGTACAGAACCCCAGTGCGACGGCCAACTGCGCCTTCTGTCCCATGGGCGACACAAATGTGTTCCTGAAGACGGTGCATGCAGATTACTCGCTTGTGTGGCGCAACTTTGGCCTCATGTGGGTGTATATCGTTTTCAACGTCTTCGCCGCTTGTGGCTTGTACTACTGGGCACGTGTGCCCAAGCGCCCGACGATTCAGAAGGAGGCGGCGCCGATTCGCGCGGAGGGATCACTGGATAGCGAGACCGTTGTTGGAAGGAGTTCTGCTGTCGAGCAGCAGGATGCTGAGAAGAGAGCTGGGTTTTAGGGTCCTGCCTTGAGTCTTTCTCTCTCTCTCTCTCTCTCTCTCTCTCTCTCGCTTTTCTTGTTTCTCTCTTCATGATTCAAATATGGAAGCTCTTATTGTCTTTTGCTAGCTTCTATGGCGTTTTCTTATGCTCGGCGATAGCATACTATATATATAACTATAATTCATCTTACAATTGGCTCCTCCTCTGTAGGAGTGTTTCATCGTTTGTTAGTAGAGCTAGTAGTAATTTGGGCTGCTAACTAGTTGACTGCTCGGATGTAGAGCCGTGGGAAGAAGGAAGGAAGGAAGAAAATGAATACATACCCTTTGCCAAAACCTTTTGCATTGAAGATTAAAGTGAAGTTGTATTCCTAATAGTTGACGGGATTTGTAACAGTGGTTGTTGTTCCTATGGCCCACTGTCCTGCTTAGCTAAGGGGATCCTAAGAGTTGAAGTCTCAAATCCACTTGTTTTTTTTTGGTAAAGATTAGAGATCTAAGAATGTCTATAATCTTCTTTGGAAACATACTCCCCTACCCTTTCTGATGCTGCCCGCATGACTTTTTAACCTTTACTGCTGAAGTAGTTTCCTCGCAACATTTTTTTTCCTTTGATTATGATCTTTTCTGAGAACCTATCGTGTACGTTTCTGCTGCTTCAAATATTTGAGGTCTGTGTAGAAGTTTAATACAAAAAAGCAAGTAAATAACAGTGGAATGTTGCACTGAAACATGATTCCTTCTTTATGTGAACATTTTCAAATGCCAAAGCCACTAGAAATAAATATAGTAGTGGGAGATAGTCCAAAGTGCGTATGAAATGGAGATGGGTTTAGTGTGATGTGTTGAAGATGTAAAACTCGATAGGCACCAACGATTGGCAGTGAATGTTTGAATGATAAAAGGTCATGTAATTTGTCTAAAACATTCTACATTGAATACATCTATTCGTTTCCCAAAGGATCCAGGTATCAAAGGGTAATTATGCAAATTGAGAAACACCATGCATGGGCTGCCCCAAGTTTCCTTTACAACACCCAACTCCATGATCAGTTATCAATAATCAGAATAACGGGAGTGCGAAAACCAAAGATACTATGATAGATTCACAACTCTGTGCCGCTTGGACGAATTGACTCGTCTTTGGATTCGTCTTTCCATTCATCGCGACCATACTTGATGATGTCGGCTTGCTCAAGGACCCAATACTTGGAAGGGGCGTTACCTTCGCGCGCAATTCGCGCAGCATTGACTGCAGCCTGTCCGAGGATCTTCTGATCCACACCTAAAGCGAAAGTGTCAGCAGCTTGGTTGTCCGGTACGTGCAGTGGAAAGAAGGGAAGGAATTACATACCAATCAAGTCTTGGAGGCCTTGGCTAATCTTGTGAATGTTTCCAATGGTTGTCTCAAGGAAGATGGACTTGGGCCTCTCGCGATCACCGACAATCATGCCTGGCCTTAGAATAATGGCGTGTTCAAAGTCCAAGTCACGGATGGCATCTTCGACGCCAATCTTCATTTTGCTGTAGGGTAGATTGCGGCCGACAAAACTCCGTATGAGGCCGGCAGAGATGAAAACGTAGATGCTGGCACCAGCAGCCTTGGATGCCTTGGCCGTCTCGATGCAGAGATCGTGATCGATCTTGCGCTGGTTTTCGAGCCCACCAGCCAGGGCGCGTGTGGTGCCGATGCCATTGAAGGCGACATACGGCTTAGGATCCCATTTGGAAATAATGTCCCCCCACTTTGACGTATCAGCTTCTAGGATGGCTTCAAGCTTCGATGACTGGGCTCTTGGTAAGCGTCTCGAGATGGTCTTGATGGAGACGTAAGATTCATTGGCAATGAGGGCGCCGAGGATATGGCTGCCAACAGCACCAGTACTGCCGAAAACTGCCGCTGTGGTCATGTCTTTTTTTTCTTGCAAGGGCGTCGGAGCAGCGTAGATCGGTAGTAGGTAGGATGAGTAAAGAAATGATGATAATATCGAAACGAAAATTGTCGAGTGGCACCGGGTGGATGCAATGCGGCTGAACGGCGAAGGGTGAAGGGGCCAATGGCAAGCGTCGGCAGTGGCTGACGAGAGCCACATGGGTTTAATCACCGAGAATTGCGCAAGTCGGAAGGAGGAGGGGGAAAGGCGACCATTGACTGCATGTGCATGCACCCACCGGGGATGGGGATCTGGGGGCCAAGTGTCCCCTGTTGTACGTGGCTGATAGGATGGGTATGCACATGTGCATGCGCTGGCTGACGACATGCATACCAGGGCTTGTACAGTATCGTGCCCCGATCCTTGGCGATGCTAAGCATCCGAAGTTATAAGCAGCCGACTGGCGCATAGTCTAGCGTGGCTTACGGGATATCATGTCGGGGCGGGACGCTGACCCTCGCAGCTCGCGGCTCGGTGTCGTGAGATGATGGCTTACCCCTACTTGTGCATGTCGTTAGATACTTGCCTACAGACAAGCGTTAGCTACTAGCGGTGTGCGGTATAAGCCATGGCAGGGGCGTTGCGGCCCGCCGGGGGCGCTATGAGCCCCTGTCTCTCGCATGCATCTTGTCCTTGTCAGACCATGAAGACTTGGAGAGAATACGTGATTGGGCCCTACGCAGTACTTGCTTAGTGCGTACGAAGTTTTGACACTGTGTGTGTGTGTGTGTGTGTGTGTGTGTGTGTGTGTGTGGCTGAACGCCTCCTGTGGCTGAACACCTCCCGCGGCTAATCCTCGGCCTATTCCGTGTAGTTCTGTCTGGTGAGCATAGCATCGCGCCGCCATACTTGCACTGTCTTGGCTGTCATTGTTTCCACCTGTTTTCCGTATGTCCTGTCAGATCATTCTTCTCAGGAAAAGTAAAATAAACTCGCACGCCAGGCCCCCAATCTGCCCGAATCGGGTAGCGAGAAAAGGTAGGTCAGCCACTCAGTACGGCTACAGGGGTCATTTTGTGCTATCCACTTGATCCTTTTGCACAAGCTTTTAGCAATAGGGGCATCGAGGAAATGCTGCAATCGGACAGCGTCTGGTCGGTAGTTGACTGAATCTGGAAATTCCCTCTTGCAAACATACTCGAGCCATCTCGACAGTAAGAAAAAAAAGTCTATGCTTGTAGAACGGGTAAAACTGGTAGAACGGGCAGAAATGGCGGAAGCTTAAAAGCAGAGCATGATTCCATCATGGAGGTTATCACTACCCTTCAGTTCACGCTCTCTCTCAGCTTACACTGGCCTCGTTCTCGCTATGCGTTCTGTAGCTTCTTTTGTCAGCCTTTCGGCTTGCCTCCTCGCGTCCAGTGTCACTGCCGCAAATACGCCACTCACCGTCAATGGAAAGAAGTTCTACCCCCAGGACATCATCACTAGGGATGTAGTCGTCGTTGGTGGCGGTTCCAGTGGCTGTCATATAGCGGTCCGCCTGCAGGACGCCGGCAAATCCGTCATTGTTGTCGAGAAATCCCCCAGGCTCGGTGGTCACGTGGCAACTTACACTGACCCAGCAACACGTAAGACAGCTGAGCAGGGCCTGGTGACCTTCCATAATACTTCATACGTCACCGACTACCTCACCCGCCTCGATATTCCTCTTGCTCCCATCTCTTTCTCCTCGACAACCAACTTGGACTATGATTTGCGCACTGGCAAGCCCGTCAACCGGACCTACAACCCCACCCAGGAAGAGTTTGCTGCAGGTTTTGCAGGCTACAGCGCACAGCTTGCAAAGTATCCCCAGCTGAACGATGGCACGTACCTGCCATACCCTGTCCCCGAGGATTTGACCATGCCATTTGGCAAATTCCTCGAAAAGTACAATCTCACCGGCGCCCTCATGCAGATGTACAACTTCAACTGGGGAACGGGCGACTTCCTATCAAACCCCACTGTCGAGCAAATGCGATACTGGGGAGCCAACACGGTCGCAGCTGTCACGACTGGCAGCTTTCTCGTCACGGCTCGTCACAACAGCAGCGAGATTTACACCAAAGTCGGTGCCGTCCTGGGTGCTACTTCCAGTGTTCTCCTTAACTCCGAGGTTACCTACACCCGCCGAAGTGAGGGAAAGGCCGGCGTCCAGCTCATTGTCAAGACTCCACAGGGATCCAAACTTCTTATTGCCAAGAAGCTCGTCATTGCTATCCCCCCCAAGCTCGATTTTGTTGCTCCCTTGGACCTGAGCAGCACTGAAAAGGACTTGTTCGGAAAGTACATTGACGCGGGTTACTATGTCGGTGTGGTCAGAAACACTGGCATTCCCCCCAAGACTGTCATCACAAACGCCGCACAGGATAAGGCATACAACTTGCCTGTCCTTCCAGCTGTGAACCTCATGAACCCAACTGCTATCGATGGTGTTTGGACCATCTTCTCGAGCACCCTGCAAAGCAAGGCTTCGTTCCCCTGGGCCGATAATGCAGTCAAGGCTGACATCGTCCGGTCCATCAAGGCACTTCAAACGTCGAACCCGGACAAGTTCCAACAGACTGAGCCGGAGATAATTGAGTGGCACTCCCACGCACCGTACTTTTTGCAAGTCAGCGCAGAGGAGATCAAGAACGGCTTCTACGCTAAGCTCTACTCCCTGCAGGGTCTGAGGAACACGCACTTTACTGGCGCCGCTTGGCGTGTACATGACAGCAGCCAAATTTGGAAGTACACTGACACTCAAGTCCTCCCCAAGCTTCTTGCAGGTTTGTAATTATTATTCTTTGATACTTCAAACCATGTAGATAGGATAGATAGGCAAAAAAGTAGGAGCGAGGTCGTCGACCACCCCTCCACTCTAGTGCAATTTAATGTAAACATAGTTGACAGCCGTTGGCACCATGTTGGTGGGATTTTGCCAAGATGCTTGTCTTCTCCCTGCACCCTGTATCCCTCACACCACGTGCAAATCGGTGCATATCGATAAGGCCACCATGATGCAACTTTGATTAACACGGCGATAGGCGCCGTTGTGACATGGTTCGTGACATCGACCAGTATGCTTGTCCCTTACCCTGCGTTCCTCAGGCCACGTGCAACTCTTTATGTCTCGAGAAACCCCCCTTTTATGCAACGTAACTAGTAACGAACATTGTAGTAGTACGTAGTCCTTGTCGTGACATGCATCGGCTTTTGGAATTTTCCGAAATGCCTTCCCTCCCCCCACTGTGTATACAAATCTTCATGTACCAAGAAAACCCCTCAGATGCAACTTAACTAACCAAGGTGGTGATGGACCTTATCGTAACATGCATCGGTTCTCGAACTTGACCGAGATACCTGTCTTCGCCGTGGGGGAGCCACGGCACGCACATGCAAACCATTATGTACCAAGAACATTACTCAGATGCCACCTAACTAATGCGGCGATAGCCCTTCATCCGGTGAGGCAAAAAAAATATGATACTCTATACGGGCCACTATCTAAACAAAACCTAACTAGGATGAATGGCACGCTAGAAAGTGAGTGACTTTATAGCTGTATAACATAACTATAATATTGTAACGGTTTCTACTTTCTGTACATACTATCTTTGTGAACAGTATACTAGACAGTAAAGCAATATCTGAAAGTTGAAGGGAACCAAAAAAAACACAAGATTAGCAAGGCGCAAATATCGAGTGCTGTAAATCATGTCGCACCGTACAACCTATCTTGTCGTCGCGCATTCATTTTTCCTGCTCACCAGGCACCCTTGCCCGAGACATATATGCATGGTTCGTGGACTAGCCCTCGATGCCTGTCTTTCGCCATGCCGGTGCCTATTCCCACCCCGGCACGGCAAGTCCCTGCGTGTCAAACAGAAAAAAAGTGCGAAAGTAACGTGCGAGCAACGTAGAAGGTGCTGTCCCGATGCATGATCTGCAGGAAGGCCTGTAAATAACGGTCCGAAAAGTGACACATTCGAGGTAAGTTTATGCTGACTCGGCATGAACCTTGGTAAGTTATTTTTTTTGCAAGGGCCCTGGGTGGCTGCTCGTCTCGAGAGCGTCTCTATCGGTTCCCGTGTGTTCATACGACGGGGAACCCCCTCCACACCGCTCCACATTACGATCGTATGTCTGTTACTGTACTGTACTCGGGGCCGGGTAGCGTGGTCAGAAAATGACAGTGGCTAATATCTTCTTGGCAGCTTGTGCGAGAGGCCATTGTGAATTTGGCTGCGTGCTTACGTAGTTGCTTAGTATGTTCATTGCTCCCTGACGGTTACACGGCGCGGTCATTGTGGCTCGTGGCTTACAAATGCATCTGCAGCTGCTTGCTATTCCACAAGGCCCTTTCCTTACGTAACCAAGCGGCAATTTTGAGAAAGAAGCATTTGCTAAATTTTGAGATGCCGTTAGGCTATTCCGAACACGATACTAGAGGAGTACATGCTTCAAGGACCGACTAGGACTACTATGTTTTTTTTAATGTACACCCCTGCGCACGGTACAGAACCAACTACTTGCATACATAGATCCGATCGTGACATGCAGGCAGAACGCAGGCCATAAGACGGTAATGCAATGCAAGAAATCAAAAAGAGGTTCTGACTCATTCTCCGTCGCACAGGATCCAAGTCTTGAAGTCTTCAGCTCAAACTGGCTCGTATTTTGACATGTAGCATGGTGTGGTTTGAGGCAAGACAGCCAATCAAAGAGGGCGGTTGAAGACGGATTCCTCTAGGTATGCGAATGGCGTCGTGTACATGGTACGTACACAGCATGGATTCAATGTGATGTTCATCCGACGTGGCTCCGACTGTAAGTGCTAGCGAGTATGCACTTGAGTAGACATGTCAACGGCGCATGTACTGCGGCACTGTACTCGGCTCCCACCGGTTGGCCCACGGGGTGGCCTCAGTTGGCGCCAGGGTGGCGTCGGTCGCTTCCGAGGCGTTACCTCAGCTATCTGCTTGGGCTGCAGGTGCAACGATGACAAGAAACCCAAGTATTGAAGCGTGGCTAATTACGCCGATGAGCCCAGTGGGCATGCGGTTGAGGCCGGGGGGAGCTGCTGAGGTAATTGGCGTTTCTTCCTAGGGATGACGCGCTAGCCGCAGGGCGAAGCAAGCCGAGGAGGGTTATTTTGGAGTGTTTGAAAACAGCGTGGGACCTTGTACACAGCAGACCGGTGACTAAGCCGAATCCGGCGAACCGCTGTCTCGGTCAACGACGCAGACGCCAGAAGGCGCGCGCCGGAGGGCAGGCGCGCTAAGCCAAAACGCCATTCCCACTAGCGCCGCGCTAAACACGACCACGCATCTTCTCTCCTGCTATCGTCAAAGCCCTGAACAAACCGCATTCGGCTACGCAATGCCACCGATGCTACGCCCCCGTCGCCTCTATACAATGTCATCGATCGGTTCCTGTACCCCAGCCCCCCAGTGCCCCCAGTCCCCACCAAGTTCCCTCTTTCCCTCGACGTGTGGCTTTATGTCGGTCAACACTGTCCTGCCTGCAGTATGCAGTATGCAGTCTCTGATGCTGTCTGCTGCACCCATCAGCCTGCCGCTCTTATCACACCACCCCTAGCTATACACACACGCTTGCTTACGTGTTTGCAGCAAAAAGGCATGTAGGACGAGGCAGCGACAACAGCTACTGCATGCTATCTGAAACCATTTACAGCATGCGTCGACCGTGGTCGCGCCTTCGAGTCCCTGCATCTAGACCAACATCTGCCACCCTACCTAGCACCTAATACTTAGAGTAGGACGCTACACGCTACACCCTTGCCTACAAAGTAACGTCCGCGTACTGTGTAGTAGTACTAGAAACTCGGTAGCTAGGCTCTCAGGACAACCTCCAGGCCGTGCGCCCTTGTGAAATACGCCATGAAAGTACGGACCACCCTCGGACATCCGATAGGGTTCCGCGAACCAAGTGAGCGATTCAGTGCTAACGAGCAAGTACCAGCAGCGAGGAACAAGTGATCCGCCAACCATTGGGTCAGAATCTACCCCTTCCCATCAGCCCGGTCTGACAGTGCTCATCATCGCATTCACGAACTCGATCTTCGGAAAAAAGTTCAACAAGAACATGTCGTCGGGTAGTACAGTGCGATAAGATGTCTATGGCCCCCCTTGTCTCCGTCCCCTCGACCCCCCTCCCCCTCTGGCCCCATC